CCTCTCTCCTTAAGATATCTTTTAAACCAATCAATTTTCAATGAAAGTACTTCAGTAATTTTTGTAGAGAATAAAAATACACAGCAATCGATGTCAAGAGAAGAAATTCAAAAAATAAATTTTTGCAAACTGGAGAGCTTTTAAACTAATCAATTTTCAAGCAAAGTATCTTGATACTTTTTTGTAGCAAATAATAAAATGCCAAAAAAATTGCAGAATTGCATGGGACACCCTGTAGTTTCACAGAGGGACGACTACGATTCCTTCCGAATCGATAAGATTCCAAAATCGATGAACGATTAATTAAATTCGTTCGGAGTCTCCCTCCCTCCGCCAGCTTGCATGCGCTTCGAAATTTTCACAAGTTTTATTCTCTGGTTGTACGTACCGCGAGCCTCGCACCCTCGTAATCGGCGAATTTCTCGCAGAAGGAAGAGCACCGTCCAGAAGTACGATCAACCGTACGGGAAGAAAGCACCGCAGAAGAGTTACAGCGAGAACCATCGTCCGGAACACGCGATCCTGGACGACGTGAACAAGATCCTAACGTCGAACAGTATGCCTAATTACAGGTATGACGTAAATCTCGTAGCATAATCATCGATCGATCAAGGCTAGATACACGTGGTCGCGTTCGTTAGATCCGATCGACATAAAATTCTTGTCTCTCGTTTCTCTGTTAACTAAATGCTGCTTGGTAACAAAATAAAAGCAGAGAATCGAGAAAGGAGATTCTAAATTGTCGTTCTAAAACGAAGACGAAAGATTGAAATTAAAAAAGAAAAAAATTTTTTTTTTCCTTAAATACTGCTTTTAAGAAACAATCTAGGGAAGACCCCTGCAGCTAGTGTTTGAAAAATATGAATAAAGGATCCATTAACGATCGCCAAAAGACACATATCGCTTCTACTTATTATACATTGGTTATTCCATTAATGTTTTGCGTTACACGAATTCATGTCACACGACATTCATTCGACATCTACAGAATCATTCGACGATTCAGCGTTGCTTTAACCGGCTGCAAGATAAAGTTTCTTCACTTTAGACGCGTTCGATCGATCGGATAGGTGGTTATCTATCAGCGACGTGTCATCTTCTTCGTCGTTCGACGGAACTCGGGGAATCTTACTCGATATTTCGCTTTCTCAAAGCGGCAAAGAATTCCTTTAATATCGCCAGCTCGGAAAGTGGAAGCGGAAATTTCTATCGTAGAAATAAAGTCCGGATACATTCCGTTACGCAATCCGCCCGAGGAATTTCGCTTTCCGAGCGACGAAAGATTTGAAAATTGATAGAAATTCATTTTCCGAAAATAAACGCGAACGACGGACCAGGAAGACGCCCCGTCGTTGTTTTACCGAGAACACCATCCTAGACTGCTTTTTAACCCTTTCTGGTCGGTACACTGGTATTATTTTTCTTTTCCTTCTCTGTGCTGTGCGTTTTCTTTCTCTTTCTTTTTTTTTTTTTCTTCTTTTCAAGGAATTCGTTGAAACTAACCGCAAAGGGTTAAACACTCGTGAGATAGCCGCGGCATGCCTATATTAGTATATTTCTAGCCGCAGCGACAACCAGCGCGTGGTGTTTCGATCCCCGAATAACGTCACCACCGCAGACGGGCCAAGACTCAAGTAAGTCTCATGTGTCTCGCCGTTATGTCACCATAGTTGATCGATCGATTGAAAAACTCAGTACACTAACCCAATCGTCAACGAAGCAGGCCAGCTTTATTATTTCGCTTAACGCTTTGACGGTCGGTATAATACTTCGATCGATTTCAAATAACCGAAGTGCAAACCTTTGAGACCAGCGTATCCTTCATTTCTCTTCGTTTTCTTATTTCGTTTTTATTTCGCTGCCCTGCCTCGTTTCGCTATCTCCAAGAGACCAAATATGGTTCCGTTCGTAGCACGAAGAAAGATATCACCTAGGAACGCGTAGCTCTGTCCTCGTTGAAGGAAATATCTTTCGCGTGCGATGACCGACACTGTACACTTACACCCCCGCAGAGGAAACCGCGCATACGTACACTCGCGGGCAAAAGGCTCCCCTAGGGAAAATGACGATATGGGGGGAAAAAAGGAATTTTCAAAAATCAGTGATATGATTTTTAATTATTAATTATTTCCACGCGATAGGGCCAGATCTCTATAATTGTCATTCTCCTAGGGAATGCCTTTGGGAAACGTTGCAACATTCCTGGGGAAGAATGTCTTGACCGCGAGTGTACAGTGCGCGATAAGACACGATAAAACGAGAATCAATTTGTAAACGTGACACTGTTTAAGAGCACTTGTTGATGAGGAATGCAGCAGTAGCGATTTATATACATATATTCGGTACAAATCGAAGCAAGTACAAAGAGGAATTCACGGTTTCTGTTATCAGTGATAACGAAACTTCCTGCACTTTTCTGTTTCCTTTTCCTTTTTATCTTACTTACTTTCTTTACTTTTCGTTCCTTCATTCGTCGAGATATCTCAGATGATTTTCTGTTGGAAAGAGAACAAAGTCCGAGAGAATTTTTTAGTATCGCATAACGGCACGATGCATTTGGCCCAATGTTGTTCAAGCAACGTCCTAGGTGGGCATATTTCGATTATTTTCTACGAACAACTTGAATTTGTTGTTACATTCGTATACTCGTATCACCCATTCGTTCCGACGAATTAACAGACTTCATTTTATCGCAAACATACGATTTCATTATGTTTCTTTGATCTTCTTTTTCTTGATTTCGTTATTCTTTCGCCAGTTCATTGATCGTGTTACATTTCACGAAAATTTTTCCATATTTCATCGTATGTCTGACACACACACGCTGCGGTCCAGTAGACGTGAAGGGAATGCATGAGTAGAAGTAATCTTAAGCCACCACGATTTGATTTCTTCACTCTGGGCACCGTATTGCATGATGAGTTTTATTTCGAATGCACCTCGACCGATGCATGATTCCTATGTTTCTTTCGTAGAAATTCCATTTTGCAAAACAATCAAAATACTGTGTTGACAAATTGTCAGGTGAAAAGTACACGAAATCGTCGTTCACTCTTGATAGTTGCACTCGGGGATCAAGCTGCGCTTCTTACGATAAAATATGGGAAAGGAGCTTCTTACTTCTTTAAAATATCGACTGACCATCCCATTGTTATAAAATTTAGAAATTTTAAAATTTGGAAATAAAGGAAGTAAAATTTCAAAATTTTCAGTAAAAAGACAGCTGTGAACGTCGAGTGTGTACGATAAATTTCAAAATCTTCCTTCGAGCTATCAGACGAATACCGAATGGTTTTCTTTTTTCCATCCACATTTGCAGGGATCACAGATCGCAGGCGAAGAGGCTTGCTATAAACGAGGTGGACGCGGTTACGAGCGCAGAGGAAGCGGTCTCTTTCATTGATCTACCGAACCATCCCACGAAGAAGGGAATTTTAAAGAAACACCCTGATTACGGTATCGTAACGACTAATTAGAAACAAGTGACCGGGTCACCCGCGAAATGCACCTCGAAGGAAGGTGCAACAGCTCGAACGGGTCATTGAGACCCAAACTTATAAAATAATAAATATACAAAGATATTAGCTCAAAATTAAATTGAAGAATTTCATATGTTAGAGGAATAATTTCTAAAGGAACAGTGTAAAATTTAAGAAATGAGACTCTCTCCATGGTCCGCCATTCAAAAGTTAATCAAATCGACCATTTACCTAACACGCGATACGAATAGCCTAAAGTCAAATTAAAATATAATTTAAAAATTAAAGAATAACAGTATAAAATTTAGAAAATGAAAATTATATGAAATTAGGCCTCTCTCCATGGTCCGCCATCTAAAAGTTAATCAAATCGACCATTTACCTAACACGCGATATGAATAGCCTAAAGTCAAATTAAAATATAATTTAAAAATTAAAGAATAACAGTATAAAATTTAGAAAATGAAAATGATATGAAATTAGGCCTCTCTCCATGGTCCGCCATCTAAAAGTTAATCAAATCAATCATTTACCTAACACGCGATACGAATAGCCTAAAGTCAAATTAAAATATGATTTAAAAATGAAAGAATAACAGTATAAAATTTAGAAAATGAAAATGATATGAAATTAGGCCTCTCTCCATGGTCCGCCATCCAAAAGTTAATCAAATCAATCATTTACCTAACACGCGATACGAGTACCCTAAAGTCAAATTAAAATATAATTATAAAATGAAAGAATAACAGTATAAAATTTAGAAAATGAAAATGATATGAAATTAGGCCTCTCTCCATGGTCCGCCATCCAAAAGTTAATCAAATCGACCATATACCTAACACGCGATATGAATAGCCTAAACTCAAATTAAAATATAATTTAAAAATTAAAGAATAACAGTATAAAATTTAGAAAATGAAAATGATATGAAATCAGGCCTCTCTCCATGGTCCGCCACCCGAAAATTTTCAAATCGAGCTGTTCGCATCGACCTTTTGCCATTTACCCAACACGCGATTAAAGAGGGAAAAATATTGAATTTGTTAATGAAACTGACTATCCTAACAGGTATCGAAGGAGGCACGGTGGTCGAATTGGAACGCACGTTGGACCGATTGAACGGCTACCACGAGGGTATCATCGAGGCGTTGAGGAACGCGGAGAGTCATCGTGAATTGTCGGGACCACCGTTGGTCAACAGGAATTTGATCGACCAGGAGGCACTGCACAAACCCCTGTCGGAATGCAGTTACCCGGACCCTTATCGCAAAGGTCTCGATCGACAGGAGCACATGGAGAACCAGGCGGACGAGGAGGACGAGGAGGAAGAGGAGGAGGAAGAGGACGAGAGCATGCTGCCGTGCGGTACGATTCGCATACGAAATCTCGAGGACATAATAAAACAACTGGAGCGTCACACAACACGGAACATAAGTCGTTGCAACTCCGACGACATCCGGATGTCCGAGAGCGAGGCCGATCGCCACTACAGAATAGATTCGTCCGTTTGTAGCGAGTCGTCCCAAGGGTAAGAACTGATGCGAAATAAGCGCTTCCGGCCTGCTTAAGTTTAACTTTTATCGACGTTCTCATCCGCTTCTACCGTTCTCGATCGTCGTACTTTTCGCAAAGCTTTCGATCGCGGCCGAGTTTAACTCTTCCATCTTCGTTTAATCTCGGCCGCGATGAACACGTTACATCGGTTATCAGGCGTATATCAATTCGGCGTTACGGTAATCGATTAAATCGGTCCTTTCTATCCGATAATTTCTTTTTTTTTTTTTCATTCGCTCTACTTAATCGATCAAACATCTTATACACGCTGGCACAAACTCATCACTGTTACATCTACTACTACTCTTATTATTATTACTGTTATCGTTGCTTACCTTTTTTCTTCTCTCGCCAATTCGTTTTGTATCTTGTGCTTCCATACTTGCGCATATTTACAGCTGTCGGACTGGGTGAACCGGACGGTTTTTCGTTAACAGTCGTAGTAATTAGCGTAGTTACCAGCCGTACTATTCTCGATATAATCCACCAGCATCGTCGACCGCGGGTACGTTTCACGATTGAACACATGCAGAGTCTGTTTATACCGTGTCCCTTTGACAATCGGCTTCAACTGGATCGATGGAATAAGAGAGCGTGTTTACAACGTGCCAACTCGTTTCATTTATCATATTTACATAATGTTGCTTGTGTTTCTTTGTTCCAACCTTACCCCTGTCTCTCGACGTACCAATGAAACGTCGAAAGCCCGCGTCCATCTATTTCTCCATGTTATCTTTCCATCGCCCGTTCGGGTAACCTGCAATAGAAATTAGGTGTCAGAGAGCTTAGGACGGCAACGAGGCGGCGACGAAAGAATGTTAAATCGCGTGACCGAAAGCTGAGAAATTTTAAAGAAACTTATACGATTTCCTACGTAGAAGCAGAAGGTGTAGCCGCGCCCGTGACGATACCTACGGTAGATATTGTCAGCCATCGTCTCGAAGTCCTTACGGCACCCATCAGCTCGTTCAACACCCCCATCAAATGCACAAGGAGGAGGATATCTATGAAACTGCCGACCCTGACAGAGGCTCAAATACTAGGGGTGAAACGCCCGATAGTGAAAGGTATCGCTGATTCTTTCAATACGAAACAAAAACGGGCTTAGTAGTTAAAGAGAGAGAGACGTTTTAAAACGTGGTAGTGATATATATCGTGGTTTCACGTTCGATCAAAAGATCTCTACGTCGAATTCCTGAAAATTATTCCCCATCGATGATAGTTACTCGCTTCTCCCAACGAATTCAAGCGTGCCGCGATTAGTGTTGGGAATTCGACGATCTCTCCTCGGCTTGATGTCTGAAAGCAAAGAAAGATAAATTAATACATTCCCATCACTATAGTGTACGCGTATTCAGATAAGGATCGGTGCATGTCCGGAGGAAAGCGACGAGGAGCATCGAGAAAAGAAACGAAAACGCGCATCCCCAAACGTCGATACGGAATATAAATAGACTCGGCATATACTCCTTGTCTCCTTTCGACAAATATTCGATAGTCCAATTTTTTTACCGAGTTTCCACCAGAATGAGCGAACCGTACCGACAAAAATTCAACACATCAACTTTTTCGCATGCAACTTATTATACTGTTTTAGCTGCTTGTGTGCGATGCGCTGTGAATGTGCTGCAACAACAAACGCGCGTGGACAGGTGTTTCTTTCAGCGTAACACGGTGGCGATAGTGGAAACTTGAGCGGGAACCGCGGCCGACGTCGAAACGAAACGCTAGAAGCAATACGCAGCTAGTTCTGTTTTATGAGAATGAATTTAATTAACCGGCAATCTCCGTATACGGAGAGGAATGATATGCGGTTTACGACGCGCTAGAACGATCCGCACTTATCCTTATCTGAAGGTTTCCTTTCCTATTTTTCAAATTACGGAAGTGTGATGATACCGTTCGTAGCCGCAATTGCAAGGCTTCGCACGTGCGCAATGGTTTAGAAAAGCTTTCTATGTACGTAACACGTTAAACACCCGGTCGGGTACGTGTACGCGTTATCGTTCATTCGGTTGACGGAGTTTTATTAAACACGGATAACGCGTGCACGTACGGCCACGCATTTAGATAGATTGTATTAGGGACACCGGGCGTAACCCAGCCCGAGAAGGTAAGTAATTGATGAAGGGGAGGGGGATATAACGATTAGAGAAGCTAGAGATACCGAAGATAGCGTTGGTCCGCGTATGCAGCATTAGTGGTCGTGGAATAGATCCAATGGGCTCGTGTAATCTTGTTATTTTCTAGTGATGCATTTATTCAAGCTCAACAACAACTAGCCCGATGGACGAGTGAGGACGGAGTGCAACACCGGCCACCGCAGCAGCCGCCGCCGCCCCCGCCTCCACCGCCGCCACCAGCAATGACCGGTGGTACGGTGCCGTTGCTGCAACGCCGTCAGTCTCAACGAGATTACCGTCAGCAACAACAACAGCAGCACCATCACCACCATCAGTCGCAGCCACTGCAGCAGCAGTCGTCGCAACAACAGCATCAACATCATCAACAAGAACAACAACAACAACAACACCAACTGCCGGTGGAACAACTGCCAATACAGCAGCGCGGCTATTATCCATCCCCGCTCCACACTGACAACGGTCTCGACAACGACGAGACTGAAAATGCTCAATCCCACCAAAAACAAATGCTCCCCGACGTTCGTGGAATCGATGTTAATCACTTGCCTAATATTAACAAATGCCCACTAGACGATAACTTTAGTCTAGATTGTAACATAAATAATGGTTCCCTTAAAGAATTAAATACCAACAACACTAGTGATAACGAAAATACTGCCCTATTGCCCCCTTCGCATTTTCCTGAGTACAAGCATTGATAATTATTAATCGATGACAGATAGTGTCCATAAAACATAGTGGTGTGATTTAATCTTGAACTCGCATTTTATACTGAATAGTGTAAATAACGATAAACTATTGATCGCAACATCAAGAACAACAAGAACAACAGCAAACAGGTATTAAATTATAATGAATTAAAATAATCTATATGAAATGTTTATTAATAAACATTAGTAAAGCGATTTACTCAAAGAAACGTGTGGCTGTTGTTTTTATACACCCTGATGCATAATATACCTGATTACGTTGTAAATTAGCTCCCGTTACGTTTCAAAAGTACCCCCATTGTTTCAAGAATATCGTGCAATACTTACATTCAATATGGCGGCTATTGGGACGCGCCAAATCGCGAATACATTCTTCCATCTTGAGTCATACTTCTGATAAAATTCTTTCCTTTTAACTTCGTATGTATTTCTGTGCTCTTGCGGAAAATTCTTCGATATCGTTAGGAAAGTAATATTTGCTTTTCCATAGTTTTTTATCTGAAATCGAATCGAACACGTTACGTTAACACGAAGAGGGAATTAGTGAACAATTGATATTCAGTACTCACCGTATATTGTCGGATTTTCGTTGAATTATACTAATGCTTGCGATTCGATACTCTCTGACACTTTCTAGATTTCTTTTATTCTTCCTGACTCTTCCTGATTCTTCCAGCATCCTTCAGCTCTTCCCGCTTTCTCGATTCTCTTCAAAACTTTTCCTCTTCGAGAGTACTATCGAAGGCAAATCGAGATTTAGGAATCGTAGATGGCGTCCTCCGACGTACGCAACCAACTTCACGGTCTTCAAGATTCAATTTATTTACCAAATATCATTTGACTTAACTCAAACTGTATATTATTTTGTATTAATTTATATAATAATACCAATAATAATGATGATGATGATGAAAGTAGATGTTAAAGTAAAATATAAATCACGCTCCTGTCCTTATCCTTTTATAAGCATACTTTATATTTTCGCATCGAAAGATTAGAAAATTTACTTCCTCTACCGCGTACCAATGAACCAATGTCTTCGATATTAAAAAACTTTACAGCCAACAATTTTTTACCTTGATAATAATGTTTACCGATAACAATAAATGTTTCAATAATCGGGTCTCCCCCACTAAATACTGTTCTGAAGTTAGTATATCTTCGTCTCATGATTATAGTAGGTGCAATGCGAACGACGTTCACGTCAATTCATTAGTTAGTTGCACTGGAAGAGGTACTTTCTCGAGTTGCATCGTAGCGAAAGATAATTTCAACTAGAATTACGGTCATCTATCGTCGTTTATTTAAACGTGTACCGAAAGTCGAGGACAGTCTGGTCCATGATAAGTGTTGCAAAGAGAACAATCGACAGAATTGATTGACGTTACATGTACCTCCGACGAGAACATCCAAACATGCCATCGATACCATTTGTGAATTAACTGCACGATTCATGCAGATTCGTCGTTTAATTATTAAAGATGTGCGTCAACAGAGTCTGAACCTCACCGTACGATGCAGTCCATTTATTGGACCGGGAGGTTGCTGTCTCGGGCGATATGGAATGGCATATCAAATTACACAGCATGCGCTGATCCCAACCTGAACAATCGTCGCGAAGCATCTTTCATTTCGGCTGTATGCGGTTTTCCCAAAGATTTTGCGCGTGGACGTTTGCGTAAGGGACAGTTCGGTGATGACGCTTGGTTCAGTGCCAAATTCAAGACTGTTGAAGTAATAGGTATGTCAACCTTCTTGTATCATCAATAAACTGTCAAGCTTATCTCTGTGCATTCGCACATGACTGATAATTTGAGAGATTCCTGGAAATCCGACGTCCAGAGTTTTTGATTCTTTTCTTGATATCACTTCTCTCCAGAGAAATTTCTTTGCTTGCAGTTCAATGAATTGTGAAATACGATTGTGAAAGATACAACTGGTTGTTTCTTCTAATTATTTAGGTGTAGCTGATGGAGTGGGTGGATGGCGACACTATGGAATAGATCCAGGAGAATTCTCTAGTTTTTTAATGAGAACTTGCGAAAGACTGGTCACTATGGGCAGGTTCACACCTTCTGAACCAGCTCGATTATTAGCAAATAGTTACTATGAATTACTAGAAAATAAACAACCCATATTAGGTACAAGGAGCAATCCACTGTTTGTAGTTTTGTACAAGATATAAGAAACTAACAGACACTGTGATTGTTTTAGGTAGCAGTACTGCATGTGTTATAATCCTCAATAAAGAGACAAGTAGCATTTATGCAGCTAATATTGGAGATAGCGGTTTTGTAGTTGTAAGAAAAGGAGAAGTAGTTCATCGTTCTTCTGAACAACAGCACTACTTTAATACTCCGTTTCAGTTGTCTCTTCCACCTCCAGGACATTCTGGCCTGGTGCTCAGCGACAGGTATCACGTTTTATCTAAACAAAAATAAAATAAGATTATTAAAAAATTTATATAAAATTTCTCATTGATCTTGTTTCCGACCTGATTCTAGTCCAGAATCTGCGGATACTTCTAGTTTTGGAGTCGAAGATGGTGACGTAATCCTTCTAGCAACGGATGGAGTGTTTGATAATGTGCCTGACCAAATACTTATCACTGAAATGCGTAAAGTTCAAGGTGAAAGAGATCCTACTAAGATACAAGGAGTTGCTAACTCAATAGCGTGGATGGCTCGTAGTTTAGCGTTCGACGGCGCATTTATGTCTCCATTTGCCCAAAGTGCTAGAGAAAATGGAATTGACACTATAGGTATGAGAATAACATCGATCTTTACAACAACAAATCACGTAATCGGTATCAGTCATCGTCATAACAGAATTACTTAACATCCTAATTTTCTTCGTTTACAGCGCATACGTACACACGGGTTTTAATAAAAAATATATTCCATTTATTCATAGTACACATTTTACAAATATTTTTATCTTACACATATAGCCGTCTTTCATACCTTGGTAATAAATTTCCTATTGAAGTAACTTTTTGTACAGTTTAAACATCTTTTGATTCTTACAACTAGAACAAAAACCTGGTACAGGTTTACTTTAATCAAAATCTTTTAATAATTGCATGTTTATATGAAAGGAAAATTAACATAGCCCTTGGATTAGTTTTTTCTCATTTCAAATATGAGGAGTGTTAACAGTGTCGCGAAAGGAGAAACAAGGACTTTCAAATTAGATTATCTAACTAATTTCTTAAATTGGATTAGTGTTAAACGAATTAAAATATTAATTTGTATGTTTCAGGTGGTAAACCAGATGACATTACAGTGCTTTTAGCAACGGTGGCAATATAATAAAGTATGTACAATAGAATCTTGATCATTGTATTATAGTCCATGTCATTGCGTATATGTACCTAGTTTTACATCATTATATTCCGTTATGATAATCATTTACTATTTAAATAAATGGTTTTGTAAATCATCCTGTATCACGACCAACCTTTATTACGATCATCGTAAAAAATATTAATTTCAAAAAAAGAATCAATGGGTACATTATTTTCTCCACTGCAACCAAATTGTATACAGACAAATCTTCTATTGTAATAAGTACAAATAAGTAGTTCCTCGTTACTTATAATGAGAATACTTTTTATATGCCACGGTAATATAATTATCTAACACTGTAATGAGTCAGAAATATCATCTGTTTATGTTGAACATTCAATAAACTAGAACGGATACAAACAATTATTAAGACAATCCGATGCTTCCCTGGAAGAACTACCGCATTGTGCGGCCTATTCACAGAGAAGAGTACATCATGTCTAGTACTTTCACGTCGTATACAAATAATTATCACTAACAGTAAATTGTGGTTGAAAACTTAATTCGAAATTAAATAAATGCCTGTTCAAACCCAAAAAATGAAACATAATTTACATAGTAATAATGTTAAACTAAATCAAACCATTTTATTTCATTACATATTCATATAAATAACATTTTTATCTAGTATTTACAAAACGATTATTATCTGGTTAAATCCTCAAGACTTACGCCCTGGATTATTGTAGTTAAAATTGCCGAAGTTCTCTATATAATCTATGTCCTTTCAAAAAGTGATATCATTTAACAATAATTAATCGATAAGAAGCTACAACAGGAAATGTACAACGTTAGTCCCAGCGCGTAATAAAAATACAATCCCCTATAAAATAAAAATAAACTCGTTCAGTACTGTTATAATTGTTTTCCAAAAGGACACAATTTACACTTGGAAATATCTAACAGTTTTAACTACTATCTAGTAAGTTATAAATAATCAATCAATTGGAAATATTTTGTGTTTTTTTTTTATATAATGCTTTGGCATTTTTGCTGACATTACACATTGCCGCAATAAGTTCAACAAATATACTGATTTAGTATATGACAGAATACAATCATCTGATCAATAAAGTGAATACATCACAGTACAATGTACAACATGATATCCTAAAGACAACAAATATTTACGGCAAACACTATTATACGTAAATCTAAATATGATATTTATCACACAAAAATATCTGTAAGAAACTTAAAAGAAAAATTTTTGTCCTTACGTACTACAAGTAACCCAATATGCCGAACTAAATGTATCCGTTTCGAAATATATCTGCTCGTTAACTTTCGATTCCGATTCCTATTTATATTCAGAAACTACTAACATGAAAAAAAAAAACAGGGAATACTGTTTTATATTTCATTAAACATTCTCTAGATTCCTTAAGCTTACCTGTGTTTTATAATATTACTTTTATCAAAAAATGCCCATAAAAACATAACTGTGATGTATTCTAGTATTTACAATGTTACGCATTTTTAAGCGTGGTATAAAATGTACTATTATATAACTAAAAGGGTCTAGGAATTATTTATATGAGAATAAATAGTAATATTTACATCGCTCAATTGTACGAAATCTTTATAGTAGAATATTTTTAAATCAGGGGTTTCAATTTTATATTTTTCTATGAAGAGGAAAAATAGTACTCTTTATTTCATGATAAATTCTCTTTTGACTAAATTTAGCATTAAATTTAAACAGGAGGTTAATGATTATGAAAATAACACTGAAACAAACCTTACCAAAATTAATTTCAGAAGGAAATGTATATAATAAGACAAATTAAATTATTTTTACGTATGTATTTTAAATTTTGTACTTCATGAAAATTTTTGAAAATTATATGCATTACAATTTCTGAAAATAAATATAAAGGTATACTTCAAAATATTTTGTTTGTTTTTAACAATTACGTTCATAGTATAAAACAATTTTTGTATTTCTCTCCGAAAAGTCGTGGATATTAACAATGTATCACAATGTTCGATTGTTTAAGAAGTACTATTTTCATTTATAATTATTGGTATATCACTCATACAATATGTTGCATAACATGTCACTAGTATGTGTAATACCAAGATTTTTTTTTTTTACATGAAAAATTGTAACCCCTGTATAAGCTGGAAGTCTTATCTTTTTTCATTTTATTACGAGTTCCTTCTAATATTATGCAAAATATCATGTACTTTAATTGCTTAGTATTGTTGTCGGTAACCGGGAAAATCAAGGAACGATCTTGCATACATAGCAATATAAAAGTTTACTTGATATGCCAATTGGTAAAAGATGTTTTGGAAGCAGGACCTCAGATTTAGAATTATTCCACATTGGGTTCTTGACCCCAGTTAAATCCACCAGGCCGTTCTTCGGGCGGCGGAGTGTAATCTGGATCTTCCGGATGTGCGTCAAACAAAGTCTTACTGCGAACAAGCAATAGATGAAAAGTATTTTATTAAAACGCATAACTCGCTATAACGTTATTAAAATAACTTACAGTATTTGCGGAGTCTTAAGAACACGAAAACCTCCTCTCAAACGCGGAAATACATCTTCCGCGAAGTAATACATGTGCCCTACAGCCATACCAACGAGATCTACCCATATTGTATTACCAAGAAGTACGGAAAACCCAAGAAGCACCCAGGGTAAATATGGCGCCTATTTATAAAACATATTTAAGTACAGTCTTTTTTAACTGTATAACATTAAAAATAGATGGAGAGAACTTACATGAAAGTTTAAAAGTCCAAAGAAGTTTAGTCTAACAAATGGATTTCGTCGTGACCAGACATAGACTAACATAATTGTAAATGCATGGCCCAAAAATAATAGATTAACAAAAAATGCGAATGTCTATAGTAAGTTCAGAATACTTGTGTTCAATGAAACGTATTGAATTATTTATGGTTAACATATAAAAAGTATTAAAAGATATCAAAAGGATACAATCATACATATGCCCCCAAAAATGAACATCATTACAAAATCAGACGTTCTCCTGCGAAATGATCCTTCTTCCAACATTCGACAATACCGATATGTAAAGATCATATTGAAAAGGAAATTGAAACCCATGTTTCCAAAGAACAGAAATGTTGTTATTAATCTCCATAGCTGAAACAATTTGTATTACAGTGTTAGTAAATGTAAATCAATTGAAGCTTATCGTTTATACCTGATGTAAATCATTTGTTTACCTGGTATTGTTCAATTATTAATGTAGGATTAAAATAGAGTCGAAACGGAGACACCAAATCTAATTGCTAAAATTGAAAAATAAAAATAAACTTATGGTTAAGTTTCGCGGATAATATTTTATACACGTGGAGCAATACCGTGAGAAGGGTATTTTACAAACCACTGCAAGAGTTGTGATGACACAAGCTGTTGTGTAAGCTCGTGTCACCACAGGTATTTGCATGTACTCCTGCCGGAAAGTTTGATAGGCCATTGGTGTATTGTTATGATCTTCCGTACACCTAAGGACCAATATTTTTTCCAAATTCTTCGGTTATCCTATTTATCATCACATGTTGTTCGTTACTATGCGTTATCTACATTTAATCACTAACCACATCACGACAAAATTGTTATGTTCAGTTTCGTACACGTAATACGTGAAGCTTGCCGCAGTTCAATATATCTCGATTTCGCGTCGTTATCGATAACAATTTCGTGGCCTTTTTGTATTCGCGAAGACTTAACAAGGAATAATTGTTTTAATGATTTGACGCGTTTAAAAAACGTAGGTAAAATCGTAAATGCTGCGTATTTATAACTTTCGGTCCCCGAATATAGCCTTCGTATAAATTAAGTCGATTAACTTATCAATATCAATTAAATAAGTAACTGAGAAAAAAGATTACGGGCATTGAATAAATAACTCAGACATGAAATTGGGTAAATTAAATAATAACTCAGTTGCTGTTTTAATATGATTTATTTACCAAGGTGCATGAAATGTGTTACCAAGGTGTTTGGATGACATAGTATGAAGCAGGGGTAGCGTGCGCACGCACACATTTACACGGAATACATATACAATGACGTTCTTTAATACATACAAGGCAGTGACTACAGATATAAAAAGGCTTGTTGCCACAAGAGTCCATAACTAACGACGCGCAGGTTGGAGGATGGTGGGGGAACGCAGCGAGCTCTCCGCCAATCGCTTTCCAGTTCGTCTAGGAGTATCGCCAATCAGAGCGTCGATGCGCAGAAAAGAACGAAAACTGGTCTTTTCGTAGTTATGGACTCTCATGACATCAAATATATATATGTATGTATCGCTGTTTGCTATGAAATAGGAACATTTTATGTTCTTCTTGGCAAACATGGCTAGTGGAAAAATGCTATATAATTGCCGGTTAACTTCAAGGAAGTTTATTATTCGTACGGATACCGAACCTGGCAGTACGATCACTGTGTTACGGCTCCAATAGTGGACGTTGTGAAAAAAGAAGCAGTGAGTGTAAGTAATGTCAAGTAATCATATAAATGTACTATAAAAATATTATTTTTAGATTAATTTTCACATTCTAAACTGCATTAATAAGCTTTATCTTTGTTTATGCTTAGGCTGACAGGAGTTCTTGATCTTTGGTCAGAACGCTGAGCGCTCTTCTCTCTTCATATCGCTTTATTTACATGATCGTCGGCTGGGTTTCGTTTTTTTTTAATTTTTATTAATCCACTGCATTGCATTTTATCGAAACATAACATTTTCTTATTTCGATGCTCTAGGTGTTTGTGTAACTACGGCGTCGCGTCCCACCGAGGTTACATTTGCATTCAATAGCGTTTCAGTTAATAAAATTGGGGTCCCATTGTTTATTGTAGCATGGGAGAAGCGGTCGGCATGTGCGTGAATCTTTCGCATCGTTAACAACTCGCTCACAATGAGTTTGAGTGTTGCTGTTATTTCATCCAATTAATTTGATTTAGTTTGTCAGTGATCGATCATGCGATTAATTCGCTCAAAGAGATTCTCATATATTTAATTAATTCTGTCACAGCGGATGGAATTTCACTGACTTATAAGAAATATTATTCGTAATTTTTTTAAAATTATTTTTATGTTTTTTCCCGGCAGATTTTATATAACGGATTATAGAAATCCTATTATAAAAAAAAAACGTCGAAACATACATATAAGTTCACTAAAATTGCATAAAAATGCATTACTTAAGATATGTAATTCTGTATAATTATTTTTTGTAATATACACATGCATCATTCTATAAAAATGTTAGGCATTTTTCTTCTTCCTTTGACCTTTTCTTTTAATCTTTTAATTGCTTCATTAATCTTACACACTCTGAGGCAACTTTATTTTTATTTTTAATTAAATATGTTTTGAAAATATTATTAGGTAGTTTTATGATGGAAGGAGGTGGTGTACTTACGGCAGAACGCAGTCCAGCACGTGCAAATTTGCATGTGGCTTTCACTGAAAAAGGGGAAGTAAAAGAGCGCAGAGAGAAATTTCTGACAGCCAAATATGGGTCTCATCAAATGTCCCTTATTCGTAAAAGGCTTGCAGTAGAAATGTGGTTATTTGATGAACTAGAAAAATTATATGAATCAGTTGTAAGTTAGAGATGAAATGTTCCTTAATTTAAAATTGATTCATTCTGAAGATAACTTGTTAAATGAAAATATAATTTACAGAATGAAAGTGGTAAAAATCGGGAAGTTGAAATTGATATAGATGAACTTCTTGACATGGATAGTGATGAACATAGACGAAGATTCCTGCAAGTATGTATATACATATTATAACTGATAACTGAAAATAAAATTTATAATTTTATGAACTATTATTTCGTTTTATTTTACAGGAATTATTGGTTGATACAAAGAAACCACCGCATGATATAAATGTAAGTGTAAGATACATGTGTCTTATTAAATTACTTGTTGCTTTTTCTTCTTACAATTCAGGACTTTGTGACTAATTTATTAATTAAAAATAGTAAAAGGTGGTTGGAGTAAATTAATACAATTTGAATGTTATTTGTTTTAGTGTTTCAGGAATAGGTTTGTAACTAACATAGATTTATATGTTTCTTTTATATGTTTCAGAAATTCATTAATGATTTACTTGAAAAAGCTAAAACACTTTGAAGAACTTCTATGTTCTTTTTAATATTTACGTGTTTGCAAGGACTTTTTTGAAGCATTAACAAATTTGCTCAGATTTGGAACGAGTCAAAGACATATTCAAGCCTTATCGAGTCGCGCACACGCGACTCAAATGCCAATTTATCATTACTTGGATTGAACTTAACAATGGGGGAAAAAGAAACATCAAATGACTCTGCACATTTTTATTGTAGTGTATATTATTTCATATTGAAATCGTATACATTAGTATCTGACTTATCTCAGTACAATGGCTAACTTCGTTAGTTATTTATGTGCGCATCGCATATCAAGTAATAAACCTCACAGTACACAAACTGCCTTGCTGTACGATCCATCCAGTGTGATGTATAGTAGAAAAGTTTGTTCTACACTCTAATTTTGTATGCCTTCTATACTCCATCGTTCATAGTAATATTTATGTTATTAAGAATGATTAATTAACTAAATACTTCCAAACACTTGTAACTATACCAAATGATTTCTATACATATCCTACGTTTATTCAATTATCCCAACTGACGAATCCAATTGGGTTGAAAAAATCATTAATATCTTTATGTTGTAGTATAACGAATTAATATGATTTTTATTTATTTTAGAAGGTATTTTAAGGGAGTAATTTGCAAAATGTCGCATCAAATGCTTGTACGAATTAAACAAAAAAAAAAAAAATATATAATAATAATTCTATTTGATAATATAATAAAAGCGTGTATGTTTCAGATGATATTATCACTGGCATAGTAGTAGTTAAAACGTGGAAATGACACCTATTGTTGCTTCGCTACCGAATCAGTATTTCAGAAAATTGTTGTTAAGCTGAAATTTAGTCTCATGTAAGTGTTCTTTCAAATTTAAATTCAAATTCTTTTGTTACGTCGTTAGAAGAAAAAATGGAAAAGAAACACAAAAACATTCCTAAACATTTTTTAATAACTTTGTTACTTATATAATCATGTTGTTAATTTCAAGATTTTAAATTCATATTTATACATGTTATACTTGTTTAAATTATAAAAAAAAAAGAATATCATTTTTAATGAATCTTCATATATTCGTCTCAAGAAAAGAATGTACGAGTTCTCTGTTTTGACGGTCTCGTTTGGATAAAGTGTAAACATAATGATATATTAATCATGTGACTTATAGTACAAATGAACGGTTATGTTATGAAAAATCACCGTCGCGACAGAGCGCAATCATAGGTGACATTTATACGCTTTGTAATCAGTCATATAACATACGAGCTAATGTGTAAAATGTATCCATAGTAATGTAAAAAAAGAGGAAGGAAATGAAGTTGATAAAAAAATATACTTCCAGAAACTTGGATCTCTTGTCGTTTACTTAAACAATTGTACCAAAAAAAAGACTGCACAAAATGGAATTACCTTCCTCTTGAAAAATTAGATGCGTACAGAAATCACACGGCAAACAAGATGATGAGATAGACATATTTATCAAAGATCGAATACATAATATTGGATGTCGAATGAAGCAAGAACGTTTAGCAGAAAGAAAAGTTTTTTTTTTTTTTTTTTGCACGCTGAATTAAATGTAAAGCAATATTCACAGTTGTGATCATTTAAGCTACACGGAGAAAAGAAAGGAAAAGAAACTGTTCGAGGCTCTACGACTACCTGGTATTGCAGAAAAGCAATATAACCATTGTAGCGTTATCAGTCCCCAGTTCAAATTATGGAAGAACAAAGAAACGAGAGTTTTATCCAAGGCAAGGACTAGTGAAATGTACGAATCATTATTATTTATGATATATTAGGGTGTACAGAGATTCACCTGCCATTCGTCGTTTGGCAACACGCGTGATCTTTGTGGACATTTCTCATGGGCATAGAAGAATGTGTTTAGACTTTTTACCCTTAAAAACTTCCATACGATTTAGGTGAATAATGTCGTCTAATTAAAAGCGTTGAACTCGTCTTGTCACCCGTATACATACATACATATACATATATATATATATTTAAAACTTTATACGACGGAATATATGTGAATGTGTAATTAAGATTAGGAATATATAAATCTATACAATAAACCTTGATCTCATAAAGTGCAATCGTCGACGTATTTGTTCTAAACGAACCGAGTCGTAACACAAATTTCGTTAATGACTGTGACGAACGAATACGTCAGAATTTAATCAGAGTTTATTGTATTAGAAACGATACAATCAATTGGTGCACTTGTGATTTAGTGTTGTAAAACAGTATGCGACCTTGCGATAGAATTATGTTTCATCAAATCGAAATTGTGAAGTTTGGAAATTTTATCGCCGAAGGAAAAAACAAACGCATCGAAAGTCCCCTGTTCATTTTCTTTCCGTATTAATCTTTCTTTTCCGCGATAAATGGTAGAAATACGATCAAAATGCTTATCCGTGTAATGCTTGTGTCGGTATACGAAGTATGTTTCGTAATAATCTTGTTCCGGCTTGGTGTATCTAAAAAAGAAAAGAAAACCGTAGGAATTCATGAGAACGATGTATTCTCTGGGTTATTTTCTCAGTGAATCGTTTGCAGAGAAATGGGAAATATTCGATGTCTCTAAATGAAAATGTTAATTCTATATGGCACTGGAATCTCCCATCCACGTGTGAATGTTCATTTGGAATGTTTAATGTTGTAATACCGAATCAAATTAAATCTACAATAGCCTTAAGTAAGGGAAAAAAGCTAAATTCAATTTCCATATTCATCGCGTGATTCAAAAGGAAACCATAGACCATTTAATATCCCTGTTCCCTATGTTTTAAAATTGGCGATAGTATCGTTTCCATGAGGAAACAATATTTTGCATCAATATGTACTGATTATGTAAGAGATTGTATTTACTTGCACAAACAAAATAACAATTGGATAAAAGAAAAATTAACCAATTGTTTCTTTTCATCCTCTTCTATTACTGTTATATAATTATTTACAATTATCATTCACTGCTCAAAACATATTTATGAAAAAATATTTATTTACCAACATGAGGTCGGGTATCAGATCGTTTCAGCGAATTATATCAAAGTTTTATTCGTTATAATGTACAGAATTTCATCGCAGTTATAGTGCACGTAGCGAATCGTGATACATATTTTCATAGAAAAAAGAAAAAAAAAAAGAAACGTCAGCATGAATAAAGATATATTGCGTAAATAAACTTGCATCCAAGAAATCAATGATACTATGCATCTTATTCTTTGATTTCTTGAGATTCATAAAAATATGTCACCCATCGTCTGCACTTGATAACGTCACAGAAATACCGAGTCAAGCTTAATTCGATTTCGCAATTGAAAGAAGAAAAGGAATCGCATAAATACTTTACATAATGACGCTTTGAATTGTTAACGGTACTTCGACCACGTTTAGGAATTCCGGATACCGAGCGCTTGTTCCAACTCTGCGCGTTTCTGCTGAACCTTCGTGTAGAAGTATCTGCAAACAGCTTCCTGCGCCCAGGGTTGGTAATAAAACTCTGCCCTTCGTTCCTCTTCCGGGTTACCAACAACGTCTATCATCGTTTTCAAGTCCCTCGTTTGGGATATGATCCACTTGTTAATGAACTGTTGAGGATCTTTGGCAAAACTTAGGAAGAATTCCCTGTTCGTTTTCAATTGATTGATCGTTTCAACTGTTTCGTGTATCTTGTTGTCTAGACTCTGAATTTCTTGCTGACTCGCCGTTGAAAGTAAGAAATTGTTCATCTGAGTTTTCAAGGTGTCGTCGACCTCGACATCAATGTCGTAGCATGCAGTCTGTTTTGTTTCTGTACCTAAACATAATAAATCGTCACGTTTCCTTTTTTTCAGAATGATCCTGTGCAAATACCATTCGTACCTTCCACACTGATAACGTGGTTTATTACAATAGGATCCGGCGGATGAAGCAGCGGATTTAAACGCTGCGGTATCTCAGCGAATTTCATCCTTGAACAAGCGAATATTTGCTCCAAATACTTATCACAGTTTATGAATTCTCTTTCATGACTGTCCTGAAGTTTGTGCGTTTTTATATACTGCCAGAGGGCGGAAATAATGACAGGACGCGTTTGTGTATGTACTCCTAAAAGCCGCGCTAATCTGGGATCTAATTTGAACTGTAAAACGAAAAAGCATGTTTGTAAATGGGAATCTTTTGTTCAAACACCGATGGGAATGAAGTGTTTGATTACTTGTAAAGGCTGGTAATCAAGGAGCAATAGAATGGTACATCGAACGTTCTTATCCCCAGGTCTTTTTACTTGAAAACCATCGGTCTCCTGCGTTGTCAGCGTACGGTGCCATTCAACCAAATGATTGTCAGGTCCGTATAAATCTTTGTCTAATTCTATAACTAGACTCTTAAAGAACGAAGAGAATTTCCTTTTCACCTGGAAGACATAACGTAAATTTGATATTTTCAATTTTTGCGTAATATCTAGTTACATACATTGCTTTTTACCTTATTAGGGTCATTCTTTGTATCGTCCAACAGCCGACCTTCGACCCTAAGCTCCCAAGACGCGACCGAACCCTCTTCTCCTTCGCCAGCTTCTTTCGCTGGATAGAAGGTATTGGAAATAAATATTCGTAATTTTCTCTTTTGCTTCATTGGACGTTTAAGCGCTTCCTGTATGTCGAGTCGTTTTCGCATTATTGTTGCATCTAACTTCCTCTCGAATGCAAGTAGATCCATGTATGCTTGAGATTCTGGCACTAGATCGCGTACTTTCTGTGGCAATATTTTATCTGCCAACTTTTTCTTCTTCTTGGATGTGGAATGTGAAAAATCACTGTTCCAAAAATACCTAAATGAGTTTGTGTAAAAATCATAGATTCAAAAATCAATAAACCAATTTTGAAGCTTATGAAATGCAGTGAAGTTCCTGGTAAATTTGTAAATGGTATTTTAATGTTTCTGCTACTATAAGAATCGCAACTGATGATAACAATCAAATTAAAATACTGTCATTCTGAACAAAAAGCAAAATCATAAGTAATCAGCAAACTAGTTCTCAGAAGAAAAATCTTTAATATCAGCCATAAGGTGAATAAGTTAATGAGCATAGTGATAAATACATGAATGCAAAATTGAAATAAACCATGCAATGTTGGTAGACTTACGGTTTTTGTTGTGACATAGGTATACGTTGATCAGCACTTCTCTTCCCAACTGGTGGAGTAGGCATAGGTCCTTGACGCATATTTGAATACGGTTGATTTGCTCTAATTATACTAGCTGTACCAGGACCTGCAGTTGCCATTTGGGGAGGTGGAGTAAAACCTGATCTTTGCTGCATCTATAGAAAAAATTAATTTATCAGCTCTGCTACTATATATAAGTTAGTAATATACTCACAGGAAAATTTGGGCCAGAATATTGCCGTAAATTTGGGGGTACAGATGATGCTGCATATCTTTGAGGTGGTGGGCCATTATTCCCTGTATTTGGTACAGGAAATCTTTGTGCCATGACTCTTTGCTGACTATCCTAGCGATTGAAATCAACAAGCTCTTTATTTACATACATATCCAGATTTTGTTCATAGTTTAATACAGAAATCACTCAATATCAAGTCAGTAGTTGTACAGTAAAATCATATGAACTAAAGTATACAATCGTTTATTAAACAAATAGATTTATTTACAGCATCTCGTTATACATAAAATCGTTTATTTATAGATGTACAAATAACCGATAATATTTTCTTCACAAATGATCCGTTTTACCTGACAAGTTAATTAGGAGAAAACAAAAACATAACCTTCAAATGTGTATCTTAATTATAACTCTACATAGGTTACAATTAATCACACTATCTTAGAGATACATTAACATCGATTATTCGTGTAACGAAATTCATAACGTGAGATGAACAAATGTGTAAGGAAAATAAATGTTTAAAAACACTGTTCTCGGAGCTTCATTCGGTTGTCCGTCATATTCCAGTACATTTTTACATCACACACAGTTGATTTTAGAATTTTTCGAATAGTGAATTTCTGTGCTTCAGACTGTAAGGGAAACGAAGAAAGAGAAAAATTAAGTTCGGCGAATAGTGAAAAACCACCTACGTCCTCAAAGTTTCTGTCCACTTTTTGCCAGATTTAGGAGGTTCTCGAAAAGCGATACAAGATTACACACGGATAATTTTTAGGTTCTGTTACTCAGAGGGCGTTCGTGTTGGATGCAGTTTGAATTACATTGATATTAAGAATGATTTAGGAATAAAATATCATTTCTAATCAGCATACGATTAAGAAATATGAATAGTAAAATAAATATTCAAATTTTCAAATTTGGGATTCAAATCTTCCCGTATAAACGTTCATACCCAAGTGGGAACTTTGATCGTCCCGCTCGACTCGATCGATTGCCGATAGATAGGTATTAACTTATACCGCAGTTCACCAGAGTCCATAACTGCGAAAAGACCAGTTTTCATTTTTTGCGCATCTCCAGTGCGCATCTTCGCCCTGATTGGCGATACTCCCAAACGAAGTGGAAAGCGATTAGCAAAGAACGCTACGTTCCCCCACCATCTTCCAACCTGCGCGTCGCAGTTATGGACTCTGGTGAACTGCGGTATATTTGTGATGTGACCGTTTCTACAAATGACGAAATTACGCGAGTTCCACAGTTATATTATTCCGTTAATTTCCACAGTTGTATTAAAATTAGATGCATAGCATCCAAGTGTCATTTCTAGTTCTCAGTACGTGTATTCTTTGTGTCACAAACACAAAGGACACGCGTAGTTTTCCTACTTGGAAGACATTCGTCATTCGTCATCAAAATATAGTATTATTTCTTATTATTATGAAAATTTATTTCTAAATTATCATACAATTAGTTGTTACATCGATTCTAATGAGAAAATGCATGAAACATTACGAATTTTTCGAAATTAATTCTCATCGTGGTTATATCAGAAAAAGTACGTTAAAAAGGCGCCATATTTGAAAACTCCCTAAAAGAGAAAAGTTACCGGAAGTGAACGAAGTAAACGTAAATCTTTTTAGGATTTTGATGATTTCAGAAAATCATTTTATTATATTTTTTTTTATTCTAACTTAAATTAAAAATAGATTTAAATAAACGAATTATTTAGCTTATTATTGCGAATAAATTTTTAATCGGCAAACCGGAAGTTTACCTATGTACTTCGTCTTCCGGACAGAGGCAGACAGAGGATTCAAGAAACACAGAGAGGAGGTATTTTTGCATGGAATATTCGAGAGATGTCTATTGTTTCCTCACGATATCGAAAAAAGTGAAACTTACAGTTTACTGTGCATTTCAGGATTCTCGTCCGAGCTCCAGTTCTTTTATTCGTCAGTTTTGAGAGCGAGCTTTGCATTCAAAGAGAATGGCGGTTATTATACACGCGTGTATACGTGATAAGAGCGGCAAATAGAAACCGTTAAAACAAATTAAAAAGAGCAGGAAATTGGGTGAGTTCATATATTCTTCTAACCTAAGCATGTCCACTTTGCCAGATCACGTCTAAATTAAGCATGGCTATCAAAAGCACTATAAATTCAAATTTACCGTAGTCTTAAAACAAGTTTAACTTATTCGTGGATATAAATTGTCGCTGATTATTATCGATGCAACTAAACTAAACGTAATTTATTACAGGCAATTTATTATACGCGGTTATGTAAATGAAAAAGATGAAAAAGAAGAGGAGAGGGCGTACGCAGCTAGAACTGAAAATAGACCGTCTTCCGATCGAATAAAAGGAATCGAGTGGCTAAAAACTGCCGAAGGGCACATACACACAGGCGGAATCAAGAAATCCAGCTGTCACGCTATAAATTGTCCTGTAGTTTACTTTGTATTCAGCAAATTTGTTTCGACATTTTTCTTCGCTCAGCCAGGTCGGTTTATATTCGCGACGTGATCCCCGATACATCCTCTTCAAGTTCGCGAATGGCCATAGTTACTTTCCTTTCTTCCACTTAGTCACCGTGTTTATTCTAATTAATTTATGACCTTTTTTCGACCGTTGGTGACAACATATTTCTTAGAAAAATCGTTGCCAACCTCATTCCCAGTATCAGAGTTCTCCCAACATAGAATCAATTGATCCAATGCTAGAACGCTTCATGTTGTAATCAGTCATCTCATTAGCAAAGCGAACATTGAATGGAGATTTATCTATCGTTTGAACTTGACATAGAATAGCCTCCGGAACATCGTTCAAATTAACCTCTACGATTTGAAAGTTTGGCGGGAAACGAGAGGTTAATTTAAACTTGTCCCTTTATTGCTACGTCTCCACCAGTTGAGATGACTGTGTTCAGCCTGGCCCTGATTATTTTCGCGGACCAGTCTGGTTGTTATAATTAACGTATCCGCACTGTTTCAGGGTACGTCGTCTCTTTGAACATGGAGGAAAGGCGTACGCGCGTGGCGCTGTTGACCCGTTTAAAAAAGATCACCCTCGCATCTGTTGCTGAGCGCAACAGATCCTACGGTTGGACGAGGAGGTTCTGCCAGGAAGAAGGAGGACGAAACGTGCACGATGAAATGCGATTTTTTTTTTCCTTTTGCTGGCGTGACTCGTCGTTGCTGACGCCGCGAGTCTCTATCTTGAAAATTTTCAACCATACTCCTTGAACACCTTCGAATGATCCATGGTTGATCACTGGTAGGTATAGAATTTAAAAAAAGATGGAGAGATCGATGAGGTTTGGAATTAAAAATCAAAAGCATTAAATTTTCTTTATTTTCATATATCTTTGAGTAATATACCACATTACTAATTTTATAGAAGTTGAATAATTCCATTCATTCCCTCCATTAATAACACAAAAGTATCCAAGTATCCTCTTCAACCTAAAATTATTCAAAAAACAATCTCAAACTCATCGCTCTTCCCAAAAACCCGGGGTATCCCAAAGCCGATAGACTAATCCATCCATGTGAAAGCAGGTATCATCCGAAAGCATATTTCTGCAAGAGCAACGATCGCAATTGGTCGCTCGTTAAAAAGACCCGGGTGCGTCCGCTTCTGGTCCTCGCCTCGTGTGAGCCCGCATTGTGCCGCTTGGAGGATGAAGAAGGAGAAAGCGTGAGAGAGAGGGGATAGGATCGTCGCGAAATATGAGAGGTAGTAGAACAGAGATACGCGGAGAGATATGCGGATCATCGGTGAGAAGGAGTAGGACGACAGCGGTTACGAGGAAATCGAGAAAGACGCGTCGAAGGAGACAGAGAGTAAAAGCGTCGGGAGGGGGAGGGATCGGCGGGCCGTAGTGGGGGTAGGCCGCGCGAACGAGCAAGCCCGACGAGTGCCGATGTGCCTCTGAGCGAGACGGAGAGAGAGCCATGCTTACGGTAAGCCGCGGGAGGGAGACGTCGCGGCACGCGCGAGCGAGAAAGTCGCCGGAGTCGTCGGGCACGACGGAGAGAGCAGAGAAAGAGGGAGCGTACGTCTCTGGGGGAGCGTGCGAGACAGAACGAACCCGGCTGTAAGGGAACGGCTGAAACGGAGACCGCGTGTAGAGTGGGGAAAAGCACCGGGCTTTTGAAAAAGTTTTATCTTGCCGGCGCGCTCGGCCTTTCAGACGCTACCGAACGCCGGTACGCTCTTGTACAGTAACCCCCCGGTGTGTTCGGTTCTCGCATACGAACCAGTTTCCCAGAGACGAGTCTCCTCGAACCGCGGTTTTCGCCGGTCCTCTTGCCCGGTTCGCGGATCGTGCACCGCTAGACAGTGCCCTTGGAACTGACCGGTCGCGTTGTTTCTCTTCCTCGACATGCGTTGACCATTCCTTCGAGCCGCACGCTAAATACAGACAGAACAAGGTGGACGAACAGTGGGTGTTATAGGTGAGAAACGAGGCGAATTGGACGCGGGATCGTTCTTCGCAAGATGAGGAACTCCGGCACGTCGAGGTGCTTGCTTCTGCTCCTCATCGCGGCGGCCGCCCTCGTGGATGCTTCTCAGGTGAGTACCGAATTCTACTTTTAACCGCCCCGTTTTTCTGACCTGGTACCACCTGGTCGGACCGATCTCTCTTCTGCTGATGATGTTTTCTATAGAATTTGTAGGATCACCGAAGAATAGGGAACAGAATTGGTTACTGGTTGATGGTAGAACGCCTTTGTAAACATTGCATTACATTGTACACACGCATTTGTGCGTCGCTCCGTTTAATCCTGGAATGAAAACGAAGTTTATCCATTGCTCAGTCCTTGTCGCTCGTTGGAGGAAACCTTGGAGCCTCTTTGGCTTGATTTTCCTGGAATATTTCAATTTTTCATTGTCAATTCTTCGCGATGATAAGCGTTACCGGTCAGGTTCGCTGAAAATTCCTTTCTGGGTCAAGTACATCTACATGAATATATATATATATATATTCATTCTTTAGATTATTCTCAAGCGTTATAATATGATAGAGGGTGGATCAAATGGTTGAAATGAATTAATTCATAATACACAAGTGAAATATGAATAGAAGTGAAAAAATTTAGCGGCGGTCTGGATGACATTTCGACGGATCGGCAGTTTCCAAAGCTGACGCGAGCTATGTTCCCGTCTACGAACTTCCCGATGTGATCGGAATATAATTCGAGCGAGAATTTACGAGAACGCATAGCGATTCGAATAGCAATTCATGAGACGTAGATAGCAACACCTATACCTTGTACGGGAAAAGGATTAAAAGAAGTTTGCGAAGAATCGTATCTTCTTTGGTCACAAAACTTCAGTTAAATATTAATTGAAAAGATTGCTTTGGCCCACATTAGATATTCAGTTAATCCTTTACTTTTTTCGCTGGTTAGATATATCATTTATTTATCATTATTGTTTTTAATATGTGAGTAATATACTTATAAGTAATCTACAATGATAAGTTACTATTGTTGCAAGTAACTTTCCATTATAAATTACTTATAAATATATAGGAGCCCATCGAGCAATTAATTTTCTCCAATTTAATGAAATTTAACTTCCTCTTTGTAAGAAGTTAATGATGGTATATCCTGTATAAAGAAAGTCTATATGGAATGATTTCTTAAAAGCCATCATAAATCTGTACCATCGAAGAGACGTTGATTGATCAAGTATCATTGAAGAATACTTTTTCAAAGCATGCCTATGAAAAAGAGACGAAATTCGTTTAATATTACCTGGCTATCGAGCCTACCTATATCACAGCAATAGCTTCTGATAAGCGACGAAAAGGTATGCGAAGATTCTTATCTTTCCACGTAACACCGGTACACAACACAGTGTATAATCACGAGGGAGCTCGGTGAGTGAACTTTCGCAGGCCAGTTTGATCGTTGCCAAAAAATTTTCCCATCAACCAGTGCCAATTTGTCCGTACTTTCTTTGGATGATCATTCATCGAATTCTTGTTCAAATATTGCAGTATTTTAATAGACTGTTGAAAAATTTACGTGAGAAATTGGTGTACAATAATGGTGCTGGAATAAAAAAAATCATAATTTTTAAAGATATTAGTATTAAGAGTGATTTAGAAACAAAATAGTCTAATTTTTAATTATTATAAAATTTAGTATATAATTAAGAGATATGAATAATGAAATTAATATTAATTCAAATTTTAACCCTTTACTTGCAAGTGATTGGGCCTTGCATTTTTATATATTTGGGGCCATTTCCCCTAGATCGTCATTCTCCCTAGGGAAGCCTACCTAGTGCTGGATGTTGCACTATGATAAGCAAAATGTTTATTAATAATTTTGGGAACGGAGTTTGGGTGGGAAATTTGAAGATATTAAAATTGCTTAGGATAAATTAGAATATGGGAACAAAGTTCCTAATTAAGATATCTGGCTATTTTTCACAAACTTTTCATATAAATCTGGGTAAAACACGAAAATTCTCGTTCCTCGATGCGAATGTGTTAATAGAGTTTCTATAATGGTTGGAAGTTAAAAAACACGTTTCTATTTATACATTATTGATTTACAATCTATTTAACTTAGTAGCCTCTGATTTATTTAATTAATTCTTCACAATCTGTAACTATTTTTGTTACCAATGGAACTCCATCTTAAGCTGTGCATTTACATTTAATTATAAGGGATCATGCTTGAAAGAAATCTGAAAACTCGACAAATTTTCTCTTGCTTTCAATGGTATAACTTCAACCGAATAGTTCGAATGAACTTGTGTACATATTGTTAAATATAATACGTATAACCAGGTTGCGTCTTCGATTGGTATACAGATTGCGAGTGTCTTATTCAATTATCACGCGATAACTCGAGGTATGATTATATTATCAGTTCGCGGTATCCAGCATCGTGCATAAGTTGGCTGTCGCATAATTGAAAGTCAGTCTAGAGGCCCGGCCTGAAGAATTCATTTACATATTGATGATCAAATTTATGCATAACAAATTAAAAGGAATTGAAACAAAATATAGATTCTTCATATAAAAATGAATAAAAAAGTCTTTTACCATTTTTGAATCTACAGCTTCGTTTAGGAGATACAAGCAATTAAAGATCGACCGTCCCACTTCCGGGGCGGGAAATTCAAATCGCTTCAACTATTTTTGATAATATCCGAATAATTAGTAAATAGATTTTGATGGAACTTTTTGCAAGTTGTTTGTTAGTTCCATTGGCACCTATCCGTGGCAATTTTGACCTCGAGATATTTCGTGCACGTTAAAAATAGGGGAAAATGTAGACGTACGAAAGCGATAGGAATCTGTTCCTCGAAGCTTCACTTAGATAGGAAGGAAAAAAATGACAGCATTATCGAGGAAAGTGTATTTTTGAAAAGTCAAAACAATACTGATATACTCTCTCTGTTCCCTGTATTCTCCGATTTTCCTTAGTCTCGGCTTTAAATAACCAGTCGACCGTCAATCTTCATAAAATTGCAATACGAAGAACTTATCTGTTCCTGTCTCTGCACTCTTCCATTCATTGTCTTTTAATACAGCTAAAAACAATCCTGGCCAATCTATTTCTTCGCGATTTCCTTTTCCCTTTTACATTGTTTAAAAATGATCAAGAACTCGTATGAAAACCTTTATTCACCTCCAATATTTAAGACTATTAACCAATTTCGATTTTGAGCGATTTAAAATATCGCGCTTTCAAATTTCGCGCCAAATGAACGGCGCCAAATTCGAACCCATTAAAATCATCGCGTTTGAAAATTCTACTCGCGGTGGTTTTTGTTAAAGAATTGAACAAATATCTTGAAAAATATATATTTTATGTTCGCGAAAGGTGTATCCTGTCAGAAATAAACAAATAGCGGATGAGGGAATGTTATAAGGGTCAAAGATGCCTCGTTTTCGCGGCTCGTATCCTTTTCTCGGGGATGGACGCGTTAGAATTGCCGGACCAAGGGGGATTCGCTGGGGAAAAAGCTCGAAAGATTTGTACCTTATGAAAAATATGGTAATGTACAGGGTGAGCGGCCACGTTCGATACCGGGCTCGTTGAACCGTCGGCTTCCACAAAGATTTTGAGGCTTCACGCGAATCGCGTAATTTGAAAAGTTCCGGAAAACGCGCACCGTTGTTCGACGATTCTAGTTTTTTTTTTTTTTTTTCTTTGTCGAGAGTTTATTAGGAGGAGAAGTTTGGCCAGGATATTTGAAGAGCTTCCTTGTTTTAAATTCAGCGATTCTTCGCTCGACGATTGTTGACAGATTTCTATTTCAAAATGGCACATCTGATCCAAGAATAAACCATGACATTACCAAGTGTATGTCTCTATCGATAATACATTCTTATATTTGTCATGCAAAGTCTATTTCTGCTTCCTGTTTTTTTTATACGGTGCGATTATGCTTCTGTATGATTTAGTATTATGAAATTGCAGAAATGGTATAATTAACGAAACGAGGTAACGGTACATTTGAGTCCAGTGGTGAAATTGTCAGAAAAAAGACGTTTGTTTAGAGGATAATTTTTTCTTCTTAATTGTCGCACAGTAGAATGAGGGATGATTTCTCACGACGTAGATCGAACCCTCATTGCCAGCCTCGTTTCGGATTCTCGAAAGAGGAGAGAACGTAGGGATCCGTATGCAAGTACTCCTTGTCCCTGAGTACCGGTACTCGAGTGCAAGCTCGAGTGCTTTATAGCAAGAAGGAACTTCTCGACGATCGTCGATTCTCAAGGCGATTTTCACTGACCACCTTTTTACATTCACTTCTGGTCTTCCTGAAAATCTTCACCTTTCAAGTGATTCTTCTGTCAAAAGAATTTGATCTTAAACGTTTCAGTAGGACAGTTCTTGTAGGAACTCCTTCATTTTATAATCGTTTTACTTCAAAATAATTTTAATACAAAGGCTAAAGTTATATCTATATTTATTATAAGAGAATTTTAAAATTTTCATTTCATATTTATCTGTCAGAAATTTTGGAAAATTTTAGGTGGAGCAAATTTGTTCACCTTTCAAGTGATTCTTCTGTCAAAAGAATTTGGTCAGTAGGACAGTTCTTATAGGAACTCCTTCATTTTATAATCGTTTTACTTCAAAATAATTTTAACACAAAGGCTAAAGTTATATCTATATTTATTATAAGAGAATTTTAAAAATTTTGGAAAATTTTAAGTGGAGCAAATTTGTTTCATGTGAAAAGTCAATTTCTGCCTTGTAGATCAGTTTGATTCGATATTATTTAATCAGAAGGATAACAGGATTTTTCTTGTCGCCTTTCGTGTCCCTGCGTTTAATTACAAGAAGATTGTTAGAAAGGTTGAATTCACTGGTTCAGCTACGGGTAAATATAGACGAGTACCACTCGAACAGCCACCTAAACGTCCACTCGACGCGATAAAACAGCGTGTCAATTGGCGTTTAATTAGTCCGGTCCGGTTAGCGATGAAACGCAATCAAAGACAGCGCTTCGGTCAATGAGACATCTCTTGTTTGCCTTCAAATTTCTCCAGGATTTCTTAACACACTGCCCTCTCTGTTCCTTTGTTACGTAACACT